CACATACACACATTGATGACAGACATGCACAGACACACACATACACACACTAACTTGCATTCACACACTCATATGTGCATATGCGAGCACACTCTCACCCACTCACACACGCACAGACACATGAACGCACACACACACACACGTACATTCACACATAGACTCACATGCATGCATGCACGCACACACTCACACACAGACGCATGCACACACACGCATGTACACTCACACATAGACTCACATGCATGCACGCACACACACACTCACACACAGACGCATGCCCACACATGCATGTACACTCACACATAGACTCACATGCATGCACGCACACACTCACACACACATGTACGTACACTCACATGTAAACTCACTCACATACACACACAGACACACACACACACACACGTCCTGTGCATCTGTAGTCAGACTGATGCTCTGCTGAGGCTGTGCTGTGACCTCTGACCCCTAACCTTTGACCTTTGACCTCAGGGTGAGCTCAGCTGTTAATGAACTTCTGCTGCTCTGCTGCCTTCAATAATTGATCAGATGATGATCATGTCCAGCTCACAGGCAAGAGTTAGCATTCAGCACAGCACTCTCAGACCTGCACTGAGTATCACACACACACACACACACACACACACATACACACTCACAAGATTTTATAGCACTTCTGCATGCGCATACTCATACACACACACACACACACACACACAAAATTTTATAGCACTTCTGCATGCGCATACTCATACATACACACACTCACACACACACACACACACATACACACACACACGCACACACACTCACACGCGCACACACACACACACGCACACACACACACATACACACACAAGATTTTATAGTGCTTCTGCATGCGCATACTCATACATACACACACACACTCGCACACACACTCACACGCACACACACACACACGCACACACACACATACACACACAAGATTTTATAGCGCTTCTGCATGCGCATACTCATACATACACACACTCACACACACACACACACTCACACGCACACACACACACACACACAAGATTTTATAGCACTTCTGCATGCGCATACTCATACATACGCACACACACACACACACACACACACACAAACACACACACACACTCACACGCACACACACACACACACACATACACACACAAGATTTTATATTGCTTCTGGATGCCCATACTCATACACACACACACAAACACACACACACAATATTTCATAGCGCTTCTGGATGCTCATACTTATACACACTCACACACACTCACACACACACACACACACACACAATATTTTATAGCGCTTCTGGATGCTCATACACACCCACACACACACACACACACAAGATTTTATTGCGCTTCTGGATGCTCATACTCATACACACGCATACACACACACCTATGCAATACACTCACACACAAACACACTGACACACACACACAAATAGTATCGCGCTTCTTGATGTTTTCAGAGCTTGCTGATGTGCGTTTGAATCATCAATATGAAGTTGTGTGTAAGTGTAACAGTTAACCATGGTGAACAGTCAGTACTCACGCTGTCCTGACTTATGAGAGATTATATAAAATTAGGTATATCACACATGTTCTATTACATGGTTTATCAGTCTGTTTATTACTACACTACAGTTTACTTGTTCATCCCATATACAGTATAATGTTTTATTAGTGAATGCACACACTGTGCTATACTTGCTCAATATGGCTGAAGATTGTGACTATATATAGAAATATGTGTGCGTGTATATATATATATATATATAGTGCCTCCTGTGGAAAGGGTTTTCGAGCGAGGTGTTTTGGTCTGTTTAATGGGGACGCAGAGGAAAGGGCAGAAGTTTGTCATTTCATTAACTACAGTATATTTATTTATAAAACCGGCGTTTGAGATTCCTGATAACCTTTCCCAAGCAAACGCAGACTTTATTAGAGATTATCGGCCCAAAGGTCAGAGCTGCAGCAGTCAACAGTGGTAGAAACTGATCTGGGGTCAGCTCTACATCTGCAGCTCGGGGTTTGTCCAGGGGTGTGTTTCCTGAAACCATCATTAGTTACACACATGGTTGATGTAATAGTCATAATAATAATAGTTAATAGTCATTCTGAGTTTCGTGAATCCATCAAACATTTTCCCTCTATGGTGACGTACATTTAGCTGAAACGGTCCTGAAATGAGGAATTTTAGAACAGTGTTTGACTTTGTCCTGTGGCATCTGATTGGGTTTTTGGAAGAGGGGCATTGCTAACAAAAATGTAGGAAGATTGACAATTAGAGGAAGGCAGAGCAGAAGCAAGACACACGCTGAACACTCCAAGAGGACTAGAAAGCTCCTAACTCCTAAAGGACTGATAACCCCGCCTTACTGAATGATAGCCACACCCTAAATGACTGATAGCCCCACTGTAAAGGCCTAAAAGCTCCATCTGAAGGGACTAATGACCCCACCCTAAATTACTAATAGCCC